CTGACACACGTATTTTTTACTTCAAAGGGTTCCCAAATCTTACATTGGGTATTGTTATTATGAATAAACACACGTTTTTTTGATATAATAATAATTATTATAAATCAAGATATTATTTTTTTAGTATCATAATCTTTATTATTTAGTTTCATCATCATCATTGGGTTGAGTATTCAGTAAACCTATTAGTGTAGGGATGAGTTGTTTCAAAAGAGTTTCCAATGAGAAAATTATTGGTAACGTCTATATCCATAAACGTATGTTATACTTGATTCTAAGAAGACCTTTTAATTGTTTTAATTTTTTATTTATTTAAGTATTTTTCCTTTAAGAAGAAATAGATTTTGCTCCTATATGAGTTTCCCAAATTACGAATCTTGCCTAAGGAATTAGTTTTGACGATGGTATTAATTTTGGTCCGTTGTTTTGCAAAGTGACAATACCAAACATTAACGTATTATAACTCTAATTGCACTTATTTAACTAAAGTACTTTCGTCTCCTTCTCTGAAATTGTGTTGATGCTGTGATGGAAAAAGGCAGATGGTTAAGTTAACGGTACAATTAGACTGATTCATTTTTAAGAACCTAAGGTTTTTATTATTATTACTTTTTTGGAAACAAACAGACCGCACCACACAAAAACGCACATTCTTCGTCCAACGCTTTTTCTCCTTTAGAGGCCCATCATTCATCTTAACTTATTTTTTAAAAACAATTTTTTTACTACCGATTCATACGAGTAACTTTATAGAAACGGAAAATATTATTTTTGTGCAACAATAGTTTAATTATAAAATGTAAGTGTTATGTAGAAATTATTGTCAAGTACCGATAACATGTCCAAAGGAAGAGACTAGCTACCCACGACATAGGGAATCTTAGTGTCGTGATTAGTGCACTTTCATTTTACCTAAATAGCTTTATAATCAGCAATTTTATCATCATCCTCTATGGTTATACAGCTCCTCGTAGGCTTAGCTTCCTCAAGTATATTTGGCCACCGCAATCTATTTAGTGCTTCTTGCGTCCAGCTTTGAACCCAGATGTTTCGAGGTCCTTGACAACTCCATCCCACCAACGCAGCCTCGATCTACCGGGTTTTCTCTTGCCACCAGGCTGTGAGTTCAGTAAGGACCTTGGGGTTCTGTCATCCACCATTCGATGCATGTGCATCGAGATGAGTCCCAACCATTTGAGCCTGTTGCATTTTATAATTGGACGATGTTGACGTCGTCAAAGATGTTATAGCGTCAGTTAAATAATATAAATAAGTTACTTAATTATTTACTAAGATTAAATTATTAAATAATGAGCGGCCGCGGCGGTCAATAAACAGCTGACGGCATAAATTGTAAATTATATCAAACAGCAGATAAACCCCTTATCAATGTGAAATTCCATACAAATTAATTCTTAATTACGATATCTGGTTGATCAAACAATTTTGAGATGTAAATAAAACAAAGCGCTCTCAAACAATTTCCTGTTTCACGCAATTTCTGATTCCGCGCAATCAAAATTTATAATCAAAATTGTCAGTAATTTTACACTGGAACTCAACACCCAATGGAATTTCGGCAATTCAGAGATCAATGTACATTTTGTAACAAATTTTAATTTAATTAGTATTTCTAACGCTTTGAAATTATTAGATTAATTACAATCCATTGTATTATCAAATATCTGTCAAATGCCATTGAAAATATGAATCAAACAAAGTATTTTAATCGAAATGAAAAATCTGCCTAAAATATCCTGGACTCTTTTATTTGACAGTGTATAATATGTAAAGTTCAATTCTAGATAAAACAATAGTTGTTAACCAATTATATTATACACAAAATAATTCAAAATATTAAAAAAAAATCTATTCAAACTCCTTTATGTTTTAATAGGGAGGAAATTTAAAAATATTCTTTAAATTTCTTGGAATCTTCTATTTCACAACGTACAGTATACCGTAAAGTTCATTCTAGATAAAGCAATAGTTTTTAACCAAATATACCTATTGTATACAAACAAATTAAAATATAATAAAGATATGATCTATTCAACCATAGATCACACGAATAGCAGATAGGCGCATCTTATGTAACTAACATCCTCTCAGTAACCGCTAATTACTTAATGACGACCTCACAATTCTACAAGTCTCAGACGTTATGAACATCGATGTCATGATACAATCCACAAACATACCAATAGTAATATTATCTCAATTCAAAAGGCCTTTTTTATAGAACAGAGGGCAAACGGGGAGGAGGCTCACCTGATGGTAAGTGACACCGCCGCCCATGGACACTCAATGCCAGAGGGCTCGCGAGTGCGTTGCCAGCCTTTTAAGATTTGGTACGCTCTTTTCTGGAAGGACTCGAATTAGTTCAGAAATACTTCAGTGGGTAGCTGGCTCCACATAGTGGTGGTGCCGCAAAAACTGCCTTAAAAAACGCTCAGGCATTAAGTTAAAGTTAATTTTACTGAAGTGATTTTTTTAAATGAAACCGATAACAGCAGGTTATCAGTATCGAATCCAAATCAGTTCTCTATCCCTGACATCATCCCAAATTTTTCAGCAATAGGTTTTGATTTCTAGTAGGTACTGATGCCCACAGTTCCTAGACCTTCGTGACATTTCATCTAATTCCATCAATATCACCGATGTCCATCGTTCCACGATTGAGGAACGACAACGCAGTCACAAACCTTCTGCCATCGTGAGCTTCCTTGGCCGAATTTTCCTATGAAATTATAGTGGCTGATGGCTATGAGATCACACTTATCTACAACTACACTTTCATAAAGCTTTATATACCTAGTGCATGTTCATTGTAATAGTTTTGTTTAGCTCATTAAAAGTTACCATTTTCACTTCAGTTTTCCTTTTATTTCCTCAAAGAGAACAAACGTTGACGTTTCACGACAGAAGTGAACAAATGCATCCGCTTCAAAACTTTGGTGACTGCTTATTAAATAACTTTCGTGAAAACTAACTGGAACAATGTGAAAGAATCGTTATTATTAAAGGTACTTTAATTCCCTTATTTATATTAATTCGGACTCTGTAAAACTATAATAAACAGTGGCGCTACAACCTTTGGCCGTGGCGTCAGCATTTTGTGTCCGTACCATGATCTTTTGCTTTTCTAATAGGCGTAGGCGTAATAATTAAACCTTCTGTGCCTTACATACGCCGTCGACTTTTTCCTTTGCGTGTTGAATGTAGAAAGTCCATTTGTGCATAGCCGTGTTCGAACTTACGACCTCAGGGATGAATCTCGCACGCTCAATCCCCTAGGCTTCTTCTTCTCACTTCTTTTTAAAACAATGTGCTAAAAAATCAGCCATAAAATTATAGTAAAATAATATTTTGTACTAATCATCAAGGCCTATTATTACTCTTTCAATAACCTTTTTAAAATTATAACGGATATAAAATTTGCCTTTGATGAAATTGAAGGATACAATGGAATTATCGATACAAAAGGTACCGGAAAAAATCCGAACCATTTCTTTTGATATAATTTGTTGTGTGAAAATAAGCATTTTATGAGAGCCTTTTTAATACACATTTTACTTTTTACGGCAATGCTTTTGCCAATTTAGGTCAGAACCAACCACCGAAAGAACAATTTAGGTTGTTTTCCGCATTCATCTTCATCTCATAAGATTTTTTAAAGTAATCTATCGTTTATATCTGCTAAGTGGTAAAATCAGAAGTACGAAGACAGAAAACCAAAGTCAAGGATATACTAACGCATATAGATCACTCAAAATGGAACTGGACAGGACATATGCTAAGATGCAAAGCAAACAAGTGGAGCAAACAAGTGGCTCTATGGTACCCAAGAGACGGGACAAGACATCAGGATCGCCTGAAATCACGCTGGAAAGACGACATCAGCCTGACTTTGGGACCATACTGGACCAGAGTCGCAGAGGATAGAACACAATGGAGAGAGCTGGAGGAGGCCTATGCCAAAAGGCACGCCGAATTGCGAGACATAATATAAAATGACACTACATACCCATACCTAATTCTTTAATTTAATCAAGTATATTATGTATCACTTTTCTGGAAATAAAAGGCTTTATTGAAGTAAAACTTCTTTATCGAGGTTGGAAAAAAAATTTAGTGTAACATGTTTTCGTTACGCGTCACATTTTTCGGTTACGCGCCATGTTGCTTTTTGAAGTCAAACTTCTTTATCGGCGTTGGAATGAAACTTCTTTATCGACGTATGGGAGAAATTTTGTAGCAAATCGTCACGTTTTTTCAATGATAGTAATAATTATATTACAATTAATGAAATTCTATAATAATCTTCGTAATAATAAGGTAAAATGAAATATTTGTATTCATGTCTATGATAATAAAAGCCTTTTGTTAAACTTTATCTAATTTAACGAATTTCTGTAAAGTTGCATATAGTAGATCATTTTTCGAAAAATAAGATCATAAAGAAGTTTCACTTCTTACGTGTGTACACCTAGTACACGCACAATTTATTATTATTATTATCGTTGATATGACAAATAAAAAGTAAAGATTTGTAAATTATAAAATCGTTAAAAAGCAGTCTCTTATTTACAGTTTATTAACAAACAATACGTATGTTACAAATCTAACACTCTCTTTTTAGGCATTTTTCATTCACATAATTAAAAAATATTTTTATTTGAATACTTTGTAAAAAATACTTAAGGTATATAGGCTAATGTTTATCAGATCAGCTTTCGATATTGCGAATAAATTGAAACGATCCTTCAAGATAGATATTTACGGTGCAATTGCTTTACAATGTAGTTGATGAACTCATCATTGAGATCAGAGAAGGCTAATCTGATTCAAGTACCTTCTATACAAACTAAAATTGTTTATAGCTTAAATAAATATTATTTACGACTGATTTGATCTGATTTTTTTATCAAAAAGGTTTTAAGTAAAATCAATAATTTGTTCTCTTTTATTTCAGGCTCTTTGCCCGTGATCCAATACCGATGGAGGGGCAGCGATGCTTCTGCATCGTTGTGTTTCTCGTCCACACTGCAATAGGAGCTGGAGAAGGTATATAATCATATTTAACATATTATAAGTTCACTAGAATCATTAAAAACGTTAAATTATTATCCTATTAAAAACAATAACTATTTATCATGAAAACTGGCTAAGTTAAGAACAGCCTGTGGCCAACAACAATGTTACTATATTTATTTAAAAGAAACAAGAAAAGATAGAAAATTTAGGAATGCCTTGGAGGAGGCTCTCGTGGCATTCCACAATTTTCCCGTGGAGCCGTGGGTGGTCCATATAAATATAAATACAATACACATATATATACGAAATTAATAATAATACATTATATTTTATTACTATTAATGTCGTATATGTGTTTGTATTTTTATTGAAAGAAAAAGGTATCACACGTTTATTATATCTTGATGTTGGCTGGTTGGATCACAACACTAAAATAGTTAGTTACATAAGCTAAAAGAATTTGTGCCTCTTAAAAATTTGACCTGCACCCCGGGGGCGGCGCAAGGTATAAGTTTCTTAGAGATATCAGGCCTGCGGTGTTAGTGATAAAACTTCACTTGAAGTAAATGGAAGAGGAAAGATTTTCCGAATTGACCAAACGCCAATCCGCATGGGGGCGCCCCCCAAAAAAAAAAAAAGAAAAAAAAAAAAAAAGGGATTTAAAAACGAAAAAAAACCTGGGATGGAAAATGGATACTTTACGATAATCGAAAGCGCTCGGCGCAATGGTTGGATCCTGGCCAGCCAGCCAACCCGCCCCAAGCGAAAATTAACCCCAAAAAAATTCGTTTGCTGAACTAGTGCCGGTATTGTTAAACGCAGCCCATATCTGCCAGGTTAAATATCTATAAACTTAGTCCAATTCCTGGAGTCCAAGTTCTCTTTATTTTTAGCAATAGTTCTTAATTCAGAAATATAGATTGATAAATAGAAAACGTTCTTCTTTGATTAAAAAAAAAAACCCACCACAAAGGGTTAATTTCATATGTAAGGCCCTTATAGCTAAAGAATTTGGCATAGTGGTTGTCAGGCGTTTTTAACCCAATTATTTCCCACCCCCCCCATAACGGTTTAAAAATTTAAAAATAATTCCAACCCCTCGGGGTCCCCTTTTTATTAAAAATATTTTTAATTCGGAATTAGGATTGTAAAATGGACGTTTTCTACCACCCCTATGGCATAGTGGTTATGCGCGTGGCACCTTGAGTTGGTTGTGACGCTGATGAAAATATCAGTAAAATTATCTTAACTAATTTATAGTCGGTTCTTCGCCATTCCCATCTTTTAGGTATTTTTCTTGCTGTATTATTATTTGTAAATAATGTTATTTAGAACTCATAGCTTTAGATTATAACCCTTTTATAAAAAAAAAACATCATTTCACCCTATTAATTAATGGTCACATTTCAAATAAAAATAAAAATAAAATATGTTTATTATGGAACATAAGATACATGTATAACTTATTCCACGTCATTAAGTTTGAATTTGTAGGCATCCCTACTCATCGGCAAAGAAGACAGAGGGTGTAGGCCGAGAGAAAAAGCCGGCGTAAAAAACTCTCGGTACTCTTTTAAAATAGCAAATCATCAAACAACGCTTATTTTAAAACAAATATCGCAAATTAATTAGAAGTAGCCAGTCTAGCACTAGTCCCAGGCCCTTTTATCAACTAGATAATCGATTTGCTTTTTGTTTTATCGGAAACACAGTTTGCCAGAGAGACAGATTTTGTGAATAAGAGTTTAAATAACTATATTTATCGTTTAAGCAATACATAAAAGATAACTTACTTTAAAATGTGATTGTATCTTGTTATATTTCTTTTTCACTTCCTAATTATGGTTATAAAGGATTTGAATTCCGGGCGCGTAGCAGAAAATAACAATCGCTGGGTCCCAGCTGTGAGATTACATTGCTTATGTACGAGATGTTAGAATTGTAGATAGAAACGATCAAGTGGCTTCCCTTATATTTTAACCAAACGGGATAAATAAGTATAGAATACGAGTATTTTATTTAAATTAATTGTCTTAAAATACACTAATGTACATAAACTAATATTAAAATATTATATTTATTTCCAACACACAAGTATATAGTATTTACAATATTCTTAACCTACATAGGAACAGTAATAATAATTAAAAATTAATAAAAAGTCAATTAAAACATATTTTTTAAAATTGTTCCCTGTGGGAGTGTACCTTGTTCTCGCTGATTGCGATACTCATTCTTGAGAGAGGAAAGCACCAGCTCTTCATATAGGAACGATTATATTAAAATATTAATATATATTTATTAGAATTTAAAGTTATAAAATACCACTTACGTTACTTGTTACTGTAATATTTGTTTGTTAGGGAGCAATTCAAAATACCACTGGACGGATTTCAAAATTTCTTATCATTAAAGTGCTGTATTATCGTTAAGTATCGTCGGCTATATTTATTTCAGCTTCAAGAGTTCAGCTTGTAAGCCGGGATAGGTCGCTAGTAGTGTTACTAGTGTTAATAGTGTTACTATAGTTTTTGTTTTGTTTTATCCATGTGTTACTTTGCTCTAACAAATTTAATTTTGTTTAAACATAGGCCAAATTCTATAATGACTAAAGTACCTTCTAGAGACCGGAAATAGAACGTGGGTTTTGAGGTCGTAGCAGTCGTGTTACCATTTTTATGTTACGTCAATATAGAATTACAGTTAATCTGAAATAATAATAATAAATCCACTTTAATTCCATACTATTAAAAATAAAAAATCAAATGGATGTTAGTCTTTGTTAGTTATTGTTATTTCCATTTCTTCGTGTTCTACTATATGGATGCCTTTTGGGTAAAGGCCTCTTCCTCAACTTTCTATTTGGATCTGTTCTTTGCTTCCTCCATCCATTCCTCTCCAGAGACAGTTTAACAGTTATTACCTAAAATTAAAAGTGTATATATAAATAAACATAATGACGCTACCAAAGTAAAATTAAATTAGTTTCCATAACCGCTACGGATTTTTAAACGACACAATAACAACTGATGCCTGAAGAACTCCTTGAGAATGCTATTATTATCTATCTAAAAAAAACGGGATAGTATATGATTTTTTTATAACATTCGCTAGTCTTTTAAAGGTGACTCTTATGAAAACTTCTTCTATTGTGAGGATTTGTCAACGGAAAGGCGCACCGTAAAAGCCTTAATGAACCACTTGCGAAATGGGTCAAGATTTGTCTTTTATTGTATATTTAAGCTATTGTTTGATATCTCTTCTACAGTAGACAGAATTTTTTAACACCCTCTTGAAGAGAATACCATAGGATTACCATTATGATTTTAGGTTAGCTGTCTGAAATATAATATGTTGCCAAAAATCTCAAGAAGTCGAAACTGCGGTAGCTATTACATGATAGAGTAAAATTTACTTAAACAAAACTTTATTTAATATTATTTAGACAATGACTAAATATTGAAATAGAGCTTCTTTAAAATACATTACTTGAATTTAATTTAATGTTGAAAGCATATTTGAATGCATGCATTATTTGAGTTCATTGCCAGTTCTTCTCGTCCGTACTACGCTCTTGATTTGAGAACTGGCGGTAAATGTAAAATAAGAAGCTTTTAATATGTATTTCTTTATTGACGTTCATAAGTGTTCATCGTGTTACCTAAATTATTAAATTAATTTGAATTTGCAAGAAATAAATTCTTCGCTGATTACGACTGCTGATAAGCACTCAAAACGTGAAATTATGTTATATAATAATGTATAAAATTATGTTTTAATTTTTTTGGGTCCACAGAAAACATAAAATACTTTAATTTCATTATATCTAATTAATTTCCGAAAATTTCTGAAATTATGCCATAAATCCTTCTTACTGGTACTATGATGAATCAAATGAACCCAGTCATTTGTAAACTTAATTTAATGAAGAGTATGACAATGGTAACTTTGTGCTCGCGGGTTAACACGTTAAACAACTATAATCATAATCATTTTGTGACATTTGATATATCCTTCATAACAGGTCAATCTTAGAAATTAAATCATAACTTTATTGCGAAATATCCAACTCATACCCGAGAGTTTCATTTCAAATTGAATGAATGTCCATGTTTTTGTCTTACTTTTCAAAAAAGATTCTTGAAAGCGCTTTTAATATAATTGAACCCCTTTCGGGGGTTTCAATTCTCTTAAGAGTTGAAGCGAATTATACAATTTTGTTTTTATAACATTTAACAAATTTCTTTATAAACTTAATATATTTTAAGGTATTAAGATTTAATGGTGAATTGGTAATTTCTAAAATACAATTATTAAGTATAGTGGTTTATTAGGCATCGCTAGAGACGATGGCAAGCGGCCGGATGGGATGTCGTTGATTAATTGGAGGATGTCTTTCCTCCAACTTCGATTTTGTTCCCTTTGGAGTAGAGACTCTTGGGCCGTGGGGTTCAATTGCACAGGCACTAATTGAATAGAGTAGATAGTACCGGTGACCCCAGAGCTGGTGCTTTCCTCTCTTAACGATTAAGTATCTCACTACAGCGAGGAAAAGCATTACAGAGACACTGCCACAGGGATCAAACTTTTTACATTTGTTTTAATTTTCTATTTATTAATTTTTAATTATTATTATTACTATGTAGGTTAAGAAAATTGTAAAATTTTTGTTTAATTTCAAATAAATATAAATAGTTCATTAGAGAACTATTATTAAATTCATTAAGTATACACAACGTGGAATTCGACTAATAATCCACGTGTGATGAATGTCCACAAAAATTTTGCTTAGTTGTTTCTTAGAGATTTGAGCCTAAATTGAACTATTAATAGATGCCATAAAAGTACATGGGGTGAGAGTATACAACGAACAAAAGGCCAAAACCGTACTTTTCATTGTGATTGAACAAACGGTAATACCATGACGCATCATGTCGCTTGTCAACACGTCGTGTCAATGCATATTGGATTTAGAAATGTTGTGGACATGCAGTTCGCCTTTTGTCAGTCTTTTCCTATGTTAGTCGTTTTGATTCGAGTATTGAAAAAATAGATTTAAAAATGTATCTTGTACAATGGCACGATTTGTATGGCAACGCTAAACGATCGTTTTAAAACACTTTTAAATTTGAATGTGACCACGATTTCGGATAGAATGGAAACAGATATATTGTATTGTAACCACAAGTACCACAGACACATGTCAGTCAATCTATCCTATATGCACTATTACAACAAAATATTTGTACTAGGCAAGGGTGTATAATTGTATATTTTGCTCACTAAGTTTGTTTATTTAGCCACTAAGTTTCTTTATAAGCACGCCGATTTCCTAAATCATCGGAATTAAAACCCCATAAAGTCGTAGTCCATAAAATCGTATCACTTGTATAATTCAATTCTTTAACATTTACTTTTAAAGAATTGAATTTATAAAAAATTTAATAAACTTATCTTCTGTTATACGCGAGTACTAATAATTAGTGAGCATAAGATTGCCCCTGACCCAGGAAACGAACAATATTTTATAAAATAAACAAATTTTCTAACGGAATGGATCCGTAATTCAAATCCCAGAACCTTCTTGTTATACATGACAAAGCAAAAGACGCGATTCCTTGTTTTAATTTGTGCCTTCTACCTTTTAAGAAAAACATGCACGCCATTATATGTGGCAGAGTATGCGAAGCTTAGATTATACCAAATTCTTGGAAATAGATTATTATTATGACTCCCAAATATGAAAATTCCCAAATACGAGTGTCTAGTATGGACTCTGAATACGCCCTACTATTAAGCTACGGAAATATAGATTTTTAAATTTCACATCAATTTTTATATACATTTCTTAAGTATATTTGAGAAATGTAATTGTAATACTAAATTATTGAATTTTACCAAAGATTTAAAAGTAAAACTTAAATGTAAGTATCCAAAGTCTATAGTAAAACTTTGAAAACAATATTATTTTAATATAATTAAGTTTAATTAAAGTCGTAGACCTAACTAACCCTTCAAGCATAAAGCAAACAAAATTAAAATTTGATATTTCCTTTAATATATTAAAACTTTAACCGAATATACTGTTTCAAGATAATTATGAAGGGTTAATTACGCCCGTTATTAATTAGAGTTATATAAAAACGTTTATTTTGAACGCTATTCCAAACATTAAAAAATGTGTATATAGTACATTAAACAATTAACATTATAAATTTAATATTAAAGATTTTAGTTGGCGCCTGGTTGATAGTACCACTGACCCCGAAGCTGGTGCTTTCCTCGCTCAACGAAACTTTTTAAATTTGTTTTAATTTTCTATTAATTATTAATTTAAATTATTATTACTTATTTTTTTTACATAGCGCTTGTAACATCACAATATAAATAACAAGTCTTGCATTAATTTCATTTCAAAGTAATACATCATATACGTTCTTAGAATCGCATAGAAACCACAAATAATATATTAAGCTGTAAACATATATTAGTTATGTGTATAGAGTTATTTATTTATTTATAGCCTTATATCAGCATACAAAATATATACATTATAACTGTTATTTTCCTTAATCTATGATAACTGATTCTGTGTGTCTACGGGCAAAGGCCTCCCCCATTGTCCTCCATTTTTCCTTATTGTAAACCAATCTCGTCCAGGTCTTAGTCTTTCCTGCCATTTCCACGATTTCATCGGCCCACCTCTTAAATTGCCTACCTTTGTTTCTTTTATGGCCTCTTGGTTGCCATAGTGTAACAATTTTGCTCCATTTTTCTGCTCCTCTTATGGTATGTCCAGCCCATTTCCATTTTAGTGCTTTTGTTTTATACACGACGTCAGAGAGAGAGAGAAAATGTGTATGAGTACATATGTTTAAATGCTTTATTTTACTAAGTAGTGGAGGAAGGAAGGTTCTGGTCTTCCTTCCAACTTAAGGGAGGATTCGTTATCAGTCAATCACTGACTGGCCCGAAGGGTTGTATATAGCTTTAGCGGTCGGAATAAGTTTCTTTAGCGCGATTTAAGGTATGATGGCAGTGCAATCATTTTCGTAGATTATTATAGGTGTTGCTCTAATGTATGACGTAATAATCTATGACGTAACATGGTATTTTTACTAATACCCGTAATGGTTAATAGGAGTATATTTTTTTGGAGTCTGATCTACAAAAAGATACTAAAAAAATATACGGGTACAAAACTTGTATGTTAACTTGACATAACTTGTAAGGCCTGTCATAGTCCTATGTTCGAATTCTATTCGAACGTACGGGGCGTTAGTATTCGTTTCCGTAAACTATTACTAAACTTACGGATACTTCTTTACAGGTTCAACCAATCAGCCATCAACGGAGCGCGTTGAATCCAATGAGCTAACAGTTTCCTTCCCTCCATTGGAAGATCTCTACACCAGCACCTTGGAAAAGCACTTCGCTACTGAGAATAACACTGTAGTCACTTCTCAGACGGGGTCTACTGCCCTCCTGCCGTGCGTGATCAGAAATATTGGAGATGGAATCGTAAGTGCCATTTTTACAACTAATATTTAAATACAGAATTATACATAGAGTCTAGTTATACAACATATCTACTAATCTAAAATGTATAAATAAATATAGTTAATGTATTATTAGGAATAATTAGGAAGACAACTAGAAGCTTTTATAAAATAATAGTAATCGTAGTTGTGAGAGCTAGATCCAGTACCCGTCTCTGCAATAATCAAAAATATTGCTGGAGCACAAAAATCAAAATCAAAAAATCATTCATATAGGTAACAATGTACACTTATGAACGTCAAAAAATAAATACATATTAAATGCTTCTTATTTTAAATTTACTGCCAGTTCTCAAATCAAGGGTGTAGTACGGAAGAGAAGAACTGGCAATAAACTCTCCGCCACTCTTTTTAATCGCCAAGTTTTTTGTTTTACACTCACATAAACAAATACTCCAAACACGTGAATTTCGAGGCTACTCAACTTTTTGCCACCAAAGCCTAGCGGAAACAATGAGAAGGACAAAACCATTCGAATTAGTGAATTAGTGTAGTGCACGTTAGTATTAAGTGCTAAACAGTGGAAAGTGGAAAAATAGTACACAAGAACAGAATGTCTTCCCCTTAATAGAGACTGTAAGTAGTGTTATTGGACACTTCATTATGTTAAAAATCCTTTTTTAGTAAATTAGGTTAGACTTATATGTCTTGAGTTAGGCTAGATCGTAATGTTATTATATTATTTTTCTTAAATTGTCTCAAATAACAAAAAATAATGTATCTTGGCGCAAAAATAGTCTGCTGATATGTAATACATTTAGATTCAATGTCTAATGCGTTTACCAAAGAAAACATAAATATTTAGTTGTTTAATTATAAAGAATATAAGTGGGATAAAAATAGTCAAACTAATAATTGGAGTAATAAAAAGAATTTATTCGAGCAAAAGACCGATCTTCAAACATTTCCAAAAGGTCATCGACGTAAAATATTACTCTTTACACAAATTTCAACCTTTTAATTTGAAAAGTACCTCTGAGTGTTCTTGAATAGACCAGCTTTTATTAATTTAAACTTCAATCGGATTTCGCCTTTATTGTGTAAGACACAAGGGGCATACTTTAATACTGTACGAATCTGTCGCTGCCCCTACTAGTTATGAATTCCGTTTGCTTTTGTATAGCAAACTAATGTTCTAATTAATTGCTCAAACGTCTTATTGATATTCAAGAAAATTTAATTTAAATTAGGTGGTTGGTAATTATATACAGCTATAACCTGCCAACTCATTAATGATCATATCAAATGAGATTGTCAAAACGGCGAAGGAATTTTTTATCTATACGTTATGGGCAACTGTTATGTCAGGTTTCGATATACTGTATCCCATCGTAGTACGAGTTTATTAATTAAGATATCCCTATAAAATCTCCTGGCATGACAAGTTTCAGTAGAGACAAGTCGCCGTGGACTGGCTTGGATAAACTTATTCTGACAAAGGTAATTACGGCCTTTCCTCTCCTTTTCATCTTGTCTGCATTTATAAGACATACACATAGATTTATTACTAACAAAACACACACACAGAAACACACAAAATAACAATAAACAAAAAATATTAAAAGGAATTAAAGGTGTTTTTTTTTTAAAGAACAAGGTACGTTTTAAGTGTGTAATGCGTGTGTGTTGTGGTTGTAATTGGCCCTGGCTCAGCATTATGCTGAGGAGCAGACTGTTTCGCTGTGCTGGTCATTCTGCCAGAGACCACAGCTAGTTTGCACCCCAGTCGCAAAAAAAAAAGAATGTAATAATAGTAATACTTAATAGAAAAAAAAATTAGTAAAAGTTAGTAGTGTAAGTAATGAAGTCTTGTGTGAAAGTATATAGTAAATAGAACAAAATTAAAAATTGAATTATTCTTAAGGAATAGATAAATAAATATTTTTGGGCGGATTAAAAACTAGATTACGTGGGATTTTTGTTGAGTAACTAGATGTTCTTTATAACTGCGACTCAATTTGATTTTAGTTTTACCTTTATCAGGCATCAGTCTCACACAGACTTGCTTTTTCCATTAACAGAAGTGAGAATATAACTGTCACTTGCCTATGTTCTAAGTTTAAGTTTTTGTGAGAAAAATAAATAAATAAATAAAATAAATAAAAAGTTATAACAAGACCGTAATAGATTAATAAATTATAAAAAAAAGTCTTAATAGTGTTTTGAAATAAAAACTCTGCTTAAAAGGCCGCTTTTTGGGTGATGTAATTATTTCCCTAACTTATAATTAGCTTGAATATTCTACCGATGAATAAATTAATATTGTTATTTCTTTAGGGAGCTGTCAACAAGGCTGTTTTCCGACTTCTAAATAAGTTGTGATTTTCTTCCAATTTTCTTCAGTGAACAAACTAATTCAATTATTATTTGAATTACACGTGTAACAAATATTAATTAAGAGTATTTGCCGGCTAAGGAATCAGCTACAGGGAGTCCTTACGCAAAATGGGAGGACGAAATTAAAAAGATACCGAGATACAACTGGTTTCGGGAGGCCTAATCAAGGAAAAACAAGTCCTTATGGAGGCCTTCCCCTTGAAACAGGGTTCTCATACTAACATACATTAATATAATATTATAATTATTATTAGTTTTTCGAAAAATATAACGCCGCTGTAGAATGATAACCTCGTATGTCCAGAGACCCAAACATTACAGAACAAACAGACAAAATGTTTCATTTCGTCAATGTTCGTTAAAATATTATAATGTGCTTTTGTTCATTGTTTTGGATGGTAAAAAGAACTTATTTATTAATTACATAAATAAGTCCTTACTTCATTAGTTCACCAGTTAAATGACATAAGAGTCTAAGAATAGAAAATAAATGTTTTTTTTGACATACAAGGTTATCATTCTACAGTGACGATAAGGATTTTTATTTTATTTGTTACATACTTTTATATAAGTGAAAATACCGTCTGCGTTAAAATATTTTACGTGAAAAAATTTATTTTAATTTATTTATTTGTAGCAATATAGTCTCTTGGAGAAAATAGGATGCTAAATTAAGGCTATGTAGAATGTCTCTACAATAACGATTACACGCTATATTCAGAATATGTAATACATACGAGAATGTATATCGACGTAGGAAAGCTTTTGCGGTAAGTAGACAAAATACCTAAAGTGCTAGTGACTTTTCCTGCCATTAGAATCAGAAAAAAGCCGCACCCATCGAAAGACCTGGCTCCTGTCTCTCTACGATGAAAAAAAACTTACGCCGTTGAAAACGCCCTACTTATATTATTTTTAGCAAGATTAAATGCTGTATGTAGACCAAAATCTAGTCATTTCAGACATTTTGCACTTACAGCAAAAGAAAATCTGCATTTTTTTCTTTACAAATACTTACTTCTTCCCATTTAAAAACTTAACGCTACTTACAGCATTTCAGCGGCGTGTGATTTTTACATTCGTTTACTTACAGCAAGTTTAGGGAACCTACAGTTTTGGTTTTTTTTACCATTTACGACATTTTATTTCAACCAAACATTACATTACCAAATGACCCACTGCATTTCTAGACTTATCATAATTATAAACTAATCTTACACTTGAATTGCAATTAAATACCCAAATACATAAATTTCCTGCATACAGCATATTTACCGCCTGTAAATTGATAATATTTCGGCCCCGGGGGGAAATTTTTCTTCCTTAGTACAGCGTTTTAAAGGTTTGTGATTTTAAAAACTGTTTGCTGTAACTAGCCAAACACGTACTTATAGTAACTTTGGATAAAAGTTTACATTGCAAATGGTGACTGGCAGTTAAATAAATATATGTTTCAAAAATGGTAGCAATATCATGGATAGGTCAGACACTATTAATTTTTTCCGAAATTAATAAAGTTTTTGGCTCTGGTGAACAATTGCAATATGTCTACTTACAGCAAATGTCTTTCCTAGTCGATATATACACTCTGTATATCCTAAATTCAACATTTAAAATTTAACTAAAAAAAATGCTTCACTTTTTAAATACACTTTTCTACGGCCACAAAATTCAACAGCGAAAATTCATAATTAAAAATAACTCAAATTCAAAACTAGCTTCGATTTTCATAGCCAGCTGCAATACTCAAAGTAATTTTCCATTTTCCTCTGCAATATTCAAGTTTTCAATTAAGATGTCTTACGGCCCATTGGGAGCCTTAGGAAGTTTCCTGGAGCCGATAAGGTTCTTAGCGACTTAAACATCTTAATACTCAGTGATTTTATAGGAATGGTTCCACTATAAGCGAAGCATTCTGCTATCGACTAGTTCGACGCCTAAATTTAGAAATTTTTACCTTGATATCATTAGTAATTTTATAATTATATTTAATACGGTGAATGCTTTTGAACCGTTACGTATTATTGTAATTACATTGAAAGTGATAGTAGAGCAGTGCTCAGGTCGCCCTGAGGTCGTAGGTTCGATCCCCGATTGTACACCAATGGACTTTATTTCTATGTACACATTTAACATTCTCTCGAACGGTAAAGGAAAACATCGTGAGGAAAAGTTTAAGAATAGATAAAAATTGTCAAATATAAATATATGCCATCGGCGAAAGTTTTGCGTTCGAAATACTTCGCTAAATTCAGAAGTACTTTAATCTATAAATGAATTAATTTTCTCGTGGCAATTATACAAATGAAGGTACATAGGAAAAAGGGTCCAATATTAGTCCTTACATCTTTTAATGTAAATGGTTTATGGTAACTGGAAGCTGTCATCTAATTAAAGCTTTCAGTGATCGACAGCTTTACACTAAATTAAGCTTAGTTTGATACGGGTACCTTTGCAGGGTATTAAGTTGCATTAGGGTTAGTTTGAGAGAAACGGAGTATTCATTATTGTTAGCTGATTCTGAAATCCGTTCTAGAATTCGGGCTTATATATCTCATTACATCACAGCCTAATCGCTATTGACAGATAAAAGAAGCCACCGGCAAAGCCATTTCATATTAGGGT